GCTAAATGGACGCAATGACACCGCTAAATGGACGCAATGACGCCGCTAAATGGACGCAATGACACCGCTAGATGGACACAATGACGAATGCTAAGAGAACACACCAACGAAGAGCCTGCTGAGCCCGTCGAGCCCGCTGAGCCTGCTGAGCCCGTCGAGCCCGTCGAGCCCGTTGAGCCCGCTAAGTCCGCTGAGCCCGCTGAGCTTACGTTTCACAAACATGAGATTCAAGTGTGCAATAGTGTGCACAGCATTATTAAAAAAATACAGCCTGCTATATCGACGCCAAGCATTCAAGGCACGGGGGCCCCCTTCGCTGGATCAAATCCCCCCTGCGCCGGTTCACGCCGTCATGGACTTCTACCGGGGTTACTTGTGATTGCTTGCTACCTTTCGTTCACCCCCTCCTCTCTCAAGTTATTTTGCACCTCTCGTCATGCTGCTTTTCACCATGGCAGGATCGGAGACACGGGAGATGTTTGCAGCCACAAGGGCGACTGTGGCAAATGGCCAGTTGCTTGTTTAAACCACGCTGCGGCTTCATGTTGGAGTGAGTCCTTGCAACCCATGACACTGGTTTCGATTATAGACTTCAGAGCGTTGACAAACGTTGAAGCTCACGAAAGACTGCAGACTGGAGGTTGTGCCCGAAGAGTTCCCCATCGTACGACCGCTGTCAGGTTTATTGCCTCAGCACTGATTTGCACTGGCTTCCAGCTGATCAGGCCACGAGCCTCGTGGCTTCGACTCGAGAGGTTTTTCCGTGCTAGGAACATGGGCATTTCTACTAGGAGCAAGGACGCTACGCTACTCGTAGCTCCTGGCCATACTACTAATAAGAAGAGGTCACTAGGAACAAAGGGCATTGCTACTAGGAGCAAGGATTGCTGTACTTCTTGTGGCACGAGCTGCCGACCCCAATTAAGTTTGCCAATATATTTTGTAGCATAGACTCCTCCAATGGCAAATCGACTGCCGCAGCCGCAGCCGCAGCCGCCGCAGCCGCAGCCGCAGCGCATACTGCTTTATTGATTCTCGCCGGTTGCTAAGCAGAGTGCAGTTTGTTAATGTTTTTGTTGCTCATGTATCTCCATGAGTGGCGGCAACGTGCCATGACTAAACATGAGTTGTAGCAGAGAAAAACATGTATTGGTCATGCTATTCGCGGGCCACTGTTTTGTCGCACGTTGTAGCATGGAGTTGTAGCGGGGTCATGTTGTGCTTCCTTTGGACTCCTTGGCAATCCTTTTCGTCGGAGGCACAACGGGCTAATGCAGTTGCTGCAGCATGGAACGGAACAGTGACAGGCCTTTGCAGCAACTGGGCGAATTATTCACAAAGTAATCAGCCAAGAAAAGAAAAGTGTTTTTTCACAAAAGCTAGCGAAGCTAGCTGGAGTTACTCTTGCGATAGCAAGGTTTCTTTCGATCGGGTGCAAATCCTAACCCCTGATTTTTCAGGTCGAAGACCCCCCCCTCACTCTCACTCTCACTCTCACACTCACACTCTCACTCTCACTCTCACTATCTCTCTCTCTCATCTCTCTCATCTCTCTCTCTCTCATCTCTCTCTCATCTCTCTCATCTCTCCCTCATCTCTTTCTCATCTCTGTCTCATCTCTCTCTCCTCTCTCTCTCTCTCTCTCCTCTCTGTCTCTCGTCTTTCCGTCTCTCTTCTCTCTCTTCTCTCGCAGGAGGATCCGGGCAAAGAGCCACATATAAAGGACTCTTCACCTGGAATCGTTTGCCCCGCCCAACTTGTGCAAGGCGTCCTGCCTTCTGCTACTCCGTGCGACTGCCTCCAAAAAGAGCGCCGTGTTTTTTCCTACCTCGCTGCCCTCCACTTTCCCATTCTGGAGCGCTAGCTTTCGCCCCCCCCTTGGCCTCAAGTCTTACTTGGCGAATCAGTGAATTCCGGGGGGTGATGAGTGATCCTTGATAAAGGGACTGCTCGATCGGTTGTCCAAAACATTTGAACCTGACATTATGACGACAGTTTCTGGGATTTAGGAGAGATAGCCTGCAACTGTCCGTGGCAGTTACTGAATCAAGATTCTCAAGAGATCCCAAGAGCAAGCCTATACCTGTACCCCATTGTTTCTCGGGCTGAGTTTTTTTGGCTCCAAGTTCTGGTGGGTCTGGATCGATTCTGAAGATGAGTCGTCTTGCCGTCGGCTGCGCGCTGGCCATGGCCATTGCCGGAACAACTTTTGTGGTGGTGCCGGTGCAACGACCAGTGCCGAAAGCTCCACTTGCAGCTCCAGGGAAGCCGACCACAGAGGGAGCCAGCTGGGGTGTAGCAGCAGCAGGTGCCCCAATTGGCATTCCATCGCTTTTAATTGTTGAAATGCAGATATTGGCTTGTCGATCATATGAAGACTGCCTTTTCCAGATTCTACTCTTCAAGAGTGCTTGATCGTGCTTGTTGGTCCTTGTATATCAGTTGTTGGCGATAGAATATGCATAGACCATGTCTTGACGAAGGCTTAGGCTGCGAAAGAAGCAAACAAGCCATAGGCCTTTTTTGTCGCACAATGTCTGATCAATGGAGCATCAAGAGAAACGGCTTGACCCCGTCTTGTTGGGGTGTGTATATATATATATGTGTATATATATAGTATAGATATAAAGTATATTCTATTTTGTTATATATATATATATAAATATATACACATATATATTATATAATATATGTCCACTGCCTGAAGCCAAGATCGATCATTCGATGTGGCAAGCTTTGCGTGAGATAGAGCAAGTCAACAAAATCCAAAAAAATCACTTGCTTCCGCTTGCTTCACTCAGACCACCTCAGAGTTGCCACTCCTCTCCAGGTTTGGCATTGGGTGCCCACTTGGGTCTTGCTGTGGCTGGCCGTGTGACGCGCAAGGCCAAGAGCAAGCCTTACGTGGAGACACCTGCGGATGAGAGGCTTTTTGAACAGGTGTGGCGGGATGCAGTTATGCTCAAGGCTTTCTATCTCAGCATGCGTAGCAACAGCACAATGTTGGTGAAGTGAGCCAGTGAAGAAACCTGCCCAGTGTGACACGGTTGGCCAGAAGAGGGCATGATGTTGGCTTCTAAAGACTTGCTGAGAAAAATGCACGATATAGAAACCCCAGCAAGCCAGCAGCACAGTCAAGAACAACTACATGTGATATGGGGGTTAGCTACCAATTCTGCTCCGTGGGTTCGGATGGTTTGGCCAGGGAAAATGCTAAAATACTCTCTCAGAAAATCAATAGGGAAGGAAACATTGACATGTCCTTTTTTGCCTAGCTGCCTGGACGAGAAGGGGTTGTGATTCTTGATGATTATTGCTGAAGTATTCATGAAGCTAGATATGAAACAGGTCTACTTGCAGTACACCTCCGAGTACATGAAGGGCCCAATGTATTGGCACCCGGACAAGATGCAGGGTTTCGCGCCAGACTACCCGGGGCGCCCCATTGTGAAGAATGGCAAGTACACCAGCAATGTCATTGGAAACCTGAAGGCTTTCAGCTCGAATGAGTTGGCATTCCTCTCAATGCTCTTCTTTGGAGTGGGTCTCTATGGAAACTTGCAGTTCAACTATTACGACCCACAGTGGGCCAAGGTGGATGCTGGTGGATACTTCAATGCTTCATACATCGTGGAGTCCTTGCTGCTTCCTATCTCCTTCTTCATGCACATTGCTTGCTACATCCAGAAGCAGAACGGGAAGTGAGTAGGCAGCGGCATCCAGCAGCACTGCACCGGTGCAGTTTCCGAAAATGGGCGCGATACCAACTGGCAGGTTCAAGTGTTCAAGATACGCGTTGCGGCCAAGCGGTTCACCTAACTCCCTAACCTTTAGCTTTGATTTCACTCCAATCACACCAATCTTCACAACATGTTTCACGATTTCGGGCTTTGGGCCTCTTGGTAGGTGATGCTTGGACGTTGGGTCAGCATTGCTTGGACGTTGTTCGGTCAACGCATTACACGAGCGTAGTTATACAGGTTTCAGAGAATATAATTTGTTGAGGAGTTTGCTCTTGTGATTGGGCAAGAGTTCAGTCACTGGAAGCTGAGGCAACACTACGCGTATCATCGTGTGAGCACTGGCACTGTCAGCATGCGTCAGTCATCTATTCACTACGGGTGCTGCAAAGGATGGAGGGAGTAGTTAAACCACGCTAAACTACAGGAAGGCCCAAGCCCTTTCAGACTCAACCCTTCCAAAACTGCAGTCCAACCATCTCCAACTCAGAGAACCCTTTCAAGAACGAAGAAAGGACTACTGTAGAGCATGGTATGTTGCTATTGGTTTTCACATGCCAAAACGTCCAGCTTTGCGGCACCCAATGTTCCAAGGGCGACAGCTTTTGTGCTGCTTGAAATCCCAGCTTCCACACGTTCGCTTTTGGCCTTGTGAAGAGCCATCAGTTGAGTGCCATCAGTTTGCGACCCTGATGTGTGGAAGGGAACGACATTACGATGTGACTTTGAACAAACCAATCATTTACTGCTCGAGTAGGCTTGCTACATGAGCTACTGTATGGCGTAGGTTGGGACTCTTTGAGACAACTCGATCACAGAGCGTTCAAAATCGTGGAAATCGGGCATGCCTCCAGCTGCGTTGACCAGAAGCACACATCCGATGACACATTGGAACAAGAAGCTACTAGGTGGAGGCCATCGCTATTAGGTTGGAGGCCAATACTACTAGGAATAAGCTTACTAGTAGCAAGGACGCTAATTACTAGGTGGAAGCCATCGCAAGTAGGTTGGAGGCCATCGCTACTAGGAACAAGAAGCTACTAGTAACAAGCGATCCACTCAGCTTCAATGGTGCCACGGAGGAGCTCCAGCAGTGCCGCAGTCAAGCGGAAGTGAATGCGCAGCTTCGTGCAGAGTGCCCCTGTTTGGCAGTTTAACGTTTCCACAAGTGTCCACCTTTCTTGTTAGTTCATCTCACTGTCATCAAAGTAGTATTGTATGACATCTTCTTCTTGCCACACCTGTGTCGCTCCAGGTACGAAAAGCGCAGGTATCAGTCCCAAAGCACTCAGCAGGATCGATTGGGCTTTGCAGCATTCTGGGGGAAGCCAGCCAAGCAAGGGCGATGAACCGGGTCACTCTGGACTAGGCCGAGCTTGGCTCGCCGCAGCCCCTAATCTCAGGGAGAGAGAGAGAGAGGGAAGATGAAAGAAGTAAAAGTTGAATTGAAAGAGACCATACAAACGGCAACCTTTACTCTTTTGCTGCTAGGGCGGGGGTTGATGTTTGAATATATAAGCTGAAGGAAACTAAATCCTTCAGACAAGGGTACATGTTCAGGCTCAGCTTCCGATTTTGAGGAGATGGACGCCTTGCTTCACGAAAACGCTGCGACTGGCTTTGATTTCGAGGCCTTGGAGCCTGGGCGCTCAGAACAGCTGGGAAACAAGGTGAACGATGTCTCAAGGCTCCTTGCTCCTGGTAGCGATGCCAGGAGCCCCTAGTAGTGTCCTTGCTCCTAGTTTGGGATGTTGGATGATGTTCTTTGATGTTCTTTGTGTTTCACACACCTGCAGTCACAATGATTCAACGCGCACACACTCTCATCCGGAACGTTTGTTCATCAAGAGGCAGAGGCAACCAACTGCTGTTTTGTGAGCAAGCCGCCAGAGACCAACAAAGATGAACAAAGCACACATTCAGGCTCAGGAAACAAAAGAAACGCATATATATATATATATATGTAGATATACAGTTACATTGGTGGTGTCCTATTACCTGCAAGAGTCGGTAAACAATTATCACTATTTATAGGGAAAGGCTTTTACTAACCATCGTCTTCCATTGTTGCAGGGAATCGGATATACCCACCACAGCAGTGAAGGTTGTCCCACCAGGACCACCAAGAAGAGTTGCAGCAGCTTACTGAACATGGCTGAAAGAACTATGTATACATATAAGCGGAGTTATATATAATATATACATTAAGAGAGAGAGAGAGAGAGAGAACATGCCTCGTACCAGTCACTTGCGGAGACGAGCCATATGATTCCCTAAGACCACTGCTGTTAGTTTCAATACCTTGTTTTTGCACTTCAACATGGAAGGAAAAATACATTGAGTTATATGTACCTTGCCTGGTAGTAGTCGTTTGATCCGACTATCTTTTGGCTCGGACCACAGCGGTTCATATGTTCCACGACCTACCCGGGCCCCGCCTGGTATTAAGGCCACACAAATATCCGGACGGACCAGAACAACATTTCTTGCATCACGCTGTGTTCCTGCATTCTGGTGTTGTGGCCGTTCGTCGCCTTAGTAACATTTGGTAACCTATTTTTTGGTACTATCACCAGGGTGGGGCCTGTGGGCGATGGCAAAGGACAGCGGCCCAAATACTAGCGGAGAGAAATGCACCTTTCACTTTCTAGGAGGTCGGGGCGACTGACCTTGCCGCTTTCGATGGGGATTGACCAGCCTCTGTTGTCGCGGCTGCTGTTGGTTTGCATTTTTTTACCGAAGAAAGCCGGTTTCATGTGTATAGCGCGGAGTACCTCCAAGGAAGCCTCCTATCCTTTCCGAACCAACGCGTATCCACCACCTCCTGGCTAGTGTTTCTCCCGTCTCAGGTATGCAACTGCTGCGGTAAGATGTAGACCAGGTGGCGCACGGACCGGTTTAACAAGCCAGCAAGAAATGCCCCAACAACATCCGCAATCTACCACCCAACTCTTTGATAAGCCTCTACAATGCTCAACCAAGCCCATCGGGCCACGCTATTTCAAGGAGGAAGTCAAGCACACAATTCCAATTCCAAGTTGGCTTTGTAGCTTGAACAGCCGGTAATTAGATGAGAAGCAGGCAAGTAGCGGCGGTGCAACACTTCCAGTAAATCACAACGCGATGCGCGATTCAAAAGGGCTGGTCGGGCCAACTGGGTCAGCAAATTTTCCAGCACGGTGGTGTTGGAATTGGAGGCCGTGTTCAGAACAAAACGATTTCATTGTAAAAAAATAAAGCTTTGCATGGCGAGAATCATTCTAAATCATGCAGCTTGAAATGAAGTGTTTGGAATGTTCTTCTCTTTTCAACTGACGCTCTATCAATTTCAATCACGATGTTCTCGCCCTCTTCGTTTGCAGAAGCACGGAGATGTACAGAATGATTGCGGTCTGCTCATTGAATGGTTTCATTGATGAAAAACGCTGCTGAAAACCATTGAAAACCTTCAATTTTGTCATTGCAACGCACATGGAAGCTTGAGCTGCTTTGAAGGCAGGCACCATGGGCAAAATCCGTAAAAAGACTGAGAATACGTGTTCGAATGTTTGGTTCGGTGGCGCTTGTTTGGGCTACCGGCACTGTTACGTAACAAACCGATGGCAAGAATGCATTGACAAAACAGCGTTGGGTGGCGGGAGCAGTCCGGCGAACGTGCACGGAAGCAGTGATAAGTGTTATGGCGTGTGCGAAGCGGCAATTTTCGTGGGTTTGATTCAAAAATGTCAGTCCTGTACATTGAGTGTGAGGCCAGACACAGGTTGAGTAGTCAGCAAAAGGAATCACAGGGTGTGGGGGGGCGGTAATTTGCGTCGTTGATTCGCGTGTCTGGCGCATTTGTTCCTTCGACGGCATTTCTGGTTTCAGCATGCGCTCGCTTTCACCGCGGTCACTTTTGTCGTTGTGTTTTGTGATGTTTTTGTGGTTTTGTTGCGTTTATTGAGGGTTCCGTGCCCCCATGGACAGTTAGAGGTTTGGTTTCAAATTGACGTTGGAATACGTGGATGGTTGTTCTAGTTTAGAGCCTGGGAAACTTGCCTTTAAGCCGCGCAGACTTTGAGTCTCGGTAGAGTGGTTTCGAAAGGTGCGTGTACCCCAACGAATGCACATTCAAACCGGATGCTCACTGGGATAAAAAACAAATGACCTCAATTCCGTGTAAAACAGTGTAAATTATTGGGCGAATGAGACACACCAGTTTCCATGTATTTCCGAAAGCTGTACACCTCTCACTTTTTGCTTTTTGCCACTGCGACATGCCATTCTGCATTCACCGGGTCTTTAACAACGCCGGTACCTTGTTGTGAGCCCGGCCGCCAGATTACAATTTTTTTTTGTCCGGCTCTTTTGCAGCAGCTCACGAGTTGGGCTCATGCCAACATTGTCCTTATGTCATGGGACTGAGACGTCTGGCAGCGTCGTCGGAGCTTCTCGGTGAGGAGGATGACGTCGTTCTGGACCCGAGTGCGAAGATGGCACTTCTGACATTCCACCATGTTCCCAGTGCGGTGCATCTGGTGCGTGGAGTGGCCCTGCCAGCGATCACTCGCCAAGGGGCCATGATGGCAAACTTCCCCCAGGAACCTGTTGAAAATGTCCTCACCAGCCCTGGCCAGTACGTAGGAGCGGCAAAGGTTGCAGCGTAAGTACGCTTTCTCCAACCGCAGGTGGTGTATGCCCGGCTTGGCCTCCCCTTGAGTCTCAAGGAGGTCGCGAATGATCTCAAAACGGGTCTTCTTCTGGGTCTGGCAGGGAGCCGCCTGAGCACAGGGTGCAGTGAGGCCTTCACGAAGCTCCTTGATCAGCGATTTGGTGTGAAAGCGCACCCGGCAAAGGCTGCATTGAACTCCTGATCTGTAGACCTGCCATTGGTGGCCATGTGCCTGGGGTTCTTTGAGAAAGCAGGCCAGAAGGTCCTTCTTCTGCTGGACCATGGGGATTTTGGAGTTGTCCACCATGGCTGCCTTGTTGTGGAGAAAGTGTTCTTTGCAGGTGAGTAGGATGTTCATCCTGCTACCGGCGACACTGAGGACATCTCGTGTGTCTTCGTCGATGTGCTTCTGTAAGTCAATGATCTCTTCCGGTCTGGCTAAAAGCGCAGCTTGCGTGGCCTTAGCCTGGGTGTCCTGCTGGAAGGCCTTCCTGTTGAGATTGGAGTCCATCTCACGACGGCTGAAGAGGAGAAGACGGACTTGATCGAAGTCTTCGTGCTCCAAGCCCAAGCTGAGGTCTGGGAAATGATCATGAGCCGCCATGAAGGACCAGTTCTTCCATATGGAGTGCTGGAAAACTGCCACGTGGACTTTGTCCCTGATGTGAAGAGAAAGGTGCTTCAGTC